CCCCAAAACCCCAAAACCCCAAAACCCCAAAACCCCAAAACCCCGCAATCTTTGATTGATATTGAAAATAAAATCTAAATATGGGTTCAGCTGCAAGTAAAGAAGGAGAGGATACAACCAAGAGAACTGTCCTCACAGTGGCAGGAATATCTGCTCTTGTTGCAGGGGGATACATCTGCTACCGTTATGGAGGTAAGAACCTTCTAGTTACCCTCATTAACATTATTTAGTATTTTCAAGAAAGAATCAAGTAGAGCAGAAGGAAAAGATCGATCAGACTAAGGCCGAAGAAGTGAAAGATGAAGAAGTTAATACCAAAGACGTTAAAAGAGAGGAAGCTAAAGTAAGTCAAGAGACTGCAATAAAAAAGGAAGATAAATCCAAGAGTTCTCAAGGACAAGGAGGTAATATATCTTTAACTTGTTACAAACTATATCCTTACTTGCAATCTTCTATATTGTTTGGTCCTGGCCTTAAATTTTGCCTCGAACTAAAAATAAATTGAAAAGAATTTTGAAGAATTGGTGTGCCTAATCTAGCCTTACCATAACCTCAAGTGTAACCAGAGAGAATTTACTATTACCTAAATTATATTTTTAGCTTAACAATTTTGAAATAGCTCCAATATGAGATGACCCTGTCGTCGAAGTCGAAAGTGAAGGAGAACTCAAAACATCTACCAAAAAGGAAAATGAACCAATTGAAGAAGTAAAGCTTGATGAGAATTTTATTAATATGATGAAGAGTAATATATACGGAATAACACCATAGATTTTGAAGCTACTTTAACAGAGCCCCAAAAAGAATATTGTGAAGAGGAATGAGCTAAACTTATCAAAGAACTTAATAAGTCAAAAGATGGATATGTAGGTAAGATTCATTAGTATGAACTAAAACTAATCTTTCTATAGAGGAGCTTAAACACCTTAGGTAAAGTTTTAAGAATCACACCCATACAGTAAAGATGATATTTTAAAAATGCTAAAAGTGACAGGAAGATTAGGAAAGTCTAGAAGTAAACTTATCAGACATAAGAATCAAGATACTAGAGCCAATTTGGTAAAATCTAATCCAGATGCTTATTTCCAATATGCAGTAAAGTCAATAATAGAAGAGGAAGGTCTTTACAATGAAAGTATTGATTATGTCCTACAAAGAGTAGGAGTCAGCCAGGATGATTTCTTCAACATCCAATCAATTTACATGAATGATAGCCAATTTTGTGAAGCATTGACCAAGATCGATATGGAGACCCTTCCTCTCAATGAAGGCGGGGAAGAGAAACAATTGGAGCAAATCCCTAAGAAGGTATTTCTAGTTTCTTAAAGTTGACTAATAATCTGATATATAGGCATGTAAGAACATGCTTAAGCAGCTGTATAAGGATGCTGAGAAGATCTTTGATTCTCTTTACAAGCAAAAGTAAAGTTCTTCTGAATCTATAGAGTGGAAGACACTAACATGAAAGAATTGTCTCCAGTTCTGTTCGAGACTATTGCAAATGACTTGATGTTTGTGAAGAATGGCTATAGAATGGACGATGTCTTGAGGATAGCAAGCGATTGCAAGTTGATGAATGACAAAGAGTTCATGGATTACATTCAGAAATATCAGAATAAGTTGTTAGCTTCAATTGTCCAGGTTGATAGTCAGCAACCTATGAATGCTTAAGAGTGGTTGAGATTAAATTTTATGATGTCAATCTAAATTTTAAGATTGGGGTTTTGGGGTTTTGGGGTTTTGGGGTTTTGGGG